GGGGATGGGTGAGGGGGGGGACTGGGCGGGGCGGCCTAGGACGCCTGGGTCTCTGCCCCTCCCATTTGCTGGGCTTCCGTGGCTCCATCCCCGGGAGGCCGGGCAAAGCTGGCAGAGGAGGTCAGTGCCCTGGGCCCCATGATGCCAACCCTTTCTGTCTGACGCTTTTCCCCCTCTTGCTATTTGGGGAGACTGAGTTGTCTCTGGCTAGGCTGTGTTCTACCAGGCCAATCTCTGGTACCTCCCAGGGTAGGCAGTGGGGGACGTGGACACTCCCAGGACGTGGAGGGATGGGGCAGGAGTATGCCGGAGGAGAAGGGGCTGTCCCCTTGGCTTAGCCTCCACCTGCAGGTCAAAGCAGTCTCCCTTCCCCTTGCCTCCCCGGTTCTGTGGCCTCAGGAGCAAACTGGTTTAACTAGTGGGGGTTATGAAGGTACTGCAAATTGGGTTCACAGACCTCGTCCCTCTCACCCTGCCTTCAGTCAGCTCCAGGAGTTAGGGAGCATGGGGCTCCAGCTGCCAATATCGTCCCCACCTTTAGGGTTGGATTTGGAGGGGGAGAGGCTAGGAGGAGGGCTGGAAGAACTGTAGCTGGGAGTGGGAGGAGCCTCGCGCTGGGTGTGAGGGAGAAAGCCCAGGCGAGGGTGTGTGTCTGGCTCAGCCAGCGAGGCCTGCCTGGCTGCCTGGTAGATGCGCCACGAACGTTGTTGACCCTGGGTCTCTCTGGGAGCACAGAGTCAGTGTCTATAACTGATATGGACGTTCTCTGACTTCAACAGATCAAGGCAACAGACTCTCAGCCTTAGAGAGGGAAGCCAGCAGTTTGACTCCATTCTACTAAGCACAGAGCCAGAGAAAAAACGAAGGTCTGTGCACAGACCTGAAACACTCCCACAGGGATGGTCTGGAGTGGGAAGAGGACAAAGAGAACACTGGACGAGTTGGGCTAGGCATTAACCCAAAGGACAGTCCCCAGCACCATTACCAGGGTGGCCAACACCTGGGAAATGGGTTCCTGGTTCATATATCACATTTTCCATCTTCGAATTACTCTGCTCTGCTCTTGCTGTCACCCTGGGGGCCAGGTTTCCCCCTCTTGGGAAAGGCCTCTTTCGGTAGCCAGCATCAAGTGAAGAAGGGGTGGAGGGAGGCATGCTGTGTCTATCCCAAGAGACCAAAGACGTCATTGGGGGTGCAGACAAGCTCGCCCTTTCACTCCAAACCTGGGAAGAGCTGGGAATAGGTACTCCAGGGTCCCGTCCCCAGGTGGCCTAGCTGCTGTTGACTTTGCTGGTTACCCTGGGAGCAGCTCTTAGCAGCGTGGGAGGGGCGGGTGTCGGGGAGTTGGACCCTGGTGTCCAGGCTGGGGTGGGATGGTGAGCTGCCTGTGTGGCAGGGATCCTGCCAGGAGGCTTCAAAGTTAACCCTTCCTGCCCTGCCCTGGTGGTGGCTGGCGGAAGGAGAGGCGGGCCCAGCTGCGGTTTGGGAATGTGGCCCTAATCGCCGCCCCCCATCACATCTGTACTTGGTTTACAGTGAATAAGTCTCCTGTCCTCATGAACCGGGCGCGGGCACCACTCCCTCCCTGGCTGGGCATTGGGACACAGACCCATGCACCACCCAGGTCGGTCAGTCCTGCCTGCTAGATATCTCTCCTCTCAGCTCTTCCCTTTACTTCTTTAGCAGAAATCAGTGTCTGGGCCCAGAGACTAAGAACTGGAGCTCTAAGACTGCAGCTTGGGGTAGCAAATGGGAACAGAGAAGTTGAAATGGAGGGAGGGGGGAGCAAACACGTGGGAAAATATCCAAGGGGACAGCGAGTCTAAAATTTTATTGTCTCTGCTTTCCCTGCTGCCTTGGTTTGTCCACATGCCTCTGCCTTTGTCCACCCATCCATCCTGGTCACAATAACTATTCAACGCCTCCCTGTTGCACCCTACAACTGAGGTGGGGAGAACAAGATGATTCCCAGGAAGTTCCACCCTGTGCCAGCCCCAGCACTCAGGAATTACTTCTGTCCTTCATCAAGATCCAATCACTGAGGTCTGTACACAGCAGCAGTTAACCACAGCAGGCAGGGCCCAGTGACCCAGGCCTGTAATCTCAGCAGCTACTCAGGAGGCTGAAGCAGGAGGATCAAAAGTTCAAGGCTAGAGGGTAAATCCATGGCCAGCCTGGGCGACTGACTGAGACCTTGTTACAAAAAAAAAAGGAAAATCAGGGCTGGGGAATGTACTGATATAGGTCAGTGTGTGTAACACTTTGCAACTGAGTCAGCTTTCTGTCCAAGGATTTGGGAAAATGGGCTTCCCTTTCTGTAACCTGGTGGAGGGGGCTCCCGTTGTTTTTCTTTTCCTATGGTTATGCCTGTTTCTATGCTTTGCTCTGTGGCTGCTCTGCTTGCTCACCCTGGCAACTTGGAGGAGTGATGCCTTGAGGGCCCTGGAACCATGCTTCTTCTTTGGCTTCTTTCGTCACAGAGCAAAGTGCAAGAGTGAGTATAAGGAGTGGAAAAGGATGGATGCGCCTTGTCCTCTACCTGCCCTGATCTTGCCCTGATGTCTCACCCTTGCCTTTCACTCACGCCCCTCACCACCAGCATCAAAACACTGAAAAGGTCATTTTTCCCATGCTCAATCTGGTCCTGCAGGGATGTCCCAAGCCACACTCAGAGGTGTCTGGCAGATGTCTGTGGGGGCTGGGAGAAGCTGTGTTAACAATCCCCTAGGACATCATTAAGGCACAGAAGTACTAGAGGGGCTTGGAGACCAGGGCACCCAGGGAGAGTGTGGTGAAAACATGTTTTGTACAACATGTGACGGCTCCTTGTCCCTCCTCCCCTCTTTCCCCACCTCCTCTCTCCAGGTGTGCTCTGTGCCAAGGTTGGTGCCAGCCTTGCCCTCCATGCTTGCTCAATTTTACCCTTGTACCAGGCCTATTCTGCTGCTTGTCAGTTTGTCGGCTCTGCTGATGAGTGAGTTTTTGACCAGCCCCAGGGTTGCCTAGATGTCCATATAGGCTAATCCCTTGGTTTCGAAGTACAAGATTTTAGGACCACTCTATGCTGCTCTAAGAATTTCTTTCCCGACATGCACCATTCGCTAATTCAGCAAATTTGTATTAAACATCAACCATGTGCTAAACACCATCCTTAACCCTAGCAATACCTAGGTATGGTCCCTGCCCTTGTTGGCTCACAGTTCGATGCAGGTGTCTAGTGTTAACCAGTGTACAAAGTTGCAACTAGAGCAATCAGTATGGAGAGGTGTTATGGAAGGGAGTATTTTCCAGCAGCCAGGGGATCAGGAGAGTTTTCTGGGAAGAAGAAAGGAAGAGTGGAAGGAGTTGGGGAGTGAAAGAGCATGTGCAAAGGCCCTGGAATTGAGGTCTTAGCTCTCAGGAAAGCCACTCTCCCAGAAACAAGAGGGATCTCCTATTCCTGTGCCCCACCTATATCCATTATGTCTCAAGGGAGGGATAGTAAGCACCTCCTCATGTCCTAGGCAGACCTTAGGACACCTGGTAATTCTGTCCTGCAATGGTTCCATTCATTCTTTCTTCTCCTGTTCTGAAGAGGGGAATTGAGACACAGAAAAGGAAGAATTACACACAGGCGTGAGCTGACTATATAAAAATTAAGGCTCCAAACTGATAAATCCTCTAGCATGAGGATTCCTGTATTGGCCTGACCTGACTGGAGCCTCATCAGGGAGAAAGCTTTCTCCTCCCCGTACCCTCCACCCTCCTGCAGATCCAGCCCTAACCTGCCCCACTCCCTGGAGCTAGCATGTCTGCCTCCACAGTTGCTGCAGTGTATGAGGTGAGTGTTCCAGGTGTCTGCCAGCCAGCAAGTAGGCGGATGCAGCTGTCTGTTTTGCACAGAACCTACTTACTTGTGGGAGTGAGGAGGGGGTGGTCTCTCTTCTCCATTCACTGGGAATCTTCCAGCTCTTTTGCCCAGACACCAAAATTGTATGGTTTTTCCTATGCCTGCTGCTTCTTTTTAATTCGGTACTTAGGATGGAACCCAAGGCCTTGTCATGCTGGGCAAGCTCTCTATCATTAAACTACACACCAGTCTTCTAGGGATACACACCGGTCTTCTAGGGATACACACCGGTCTCCTAGGTCCTTCCTTTCTGAAGAAAAACATTGAGGGCCTTTAGAGGAGGGAACAGGCTTCTTTGTGGCTCTGCCTCCTCTGGAGGTAGCAGAGGTCATGGGACCAGTGGGGTTAAGCTCCACCTGCTGTAACCCACTTTCCTACCTGTACCCACATCCCCTGGGGCCAGGGTGTTGGGTGGGGCCAGCCTGGCACCCCCGCACCCACACCGGGACTTCCCCTGATTGGAAACTCCCAGGACCCAGGCCTCCTGCCTGCTCTGACAACTCCCACCAACTGCCTGGGTTCAGTTTACCTTCAATCAGATTTCCTTCAACCTCCTGCCAAACTATCTAGATACCAGCAATAAGGGACTCCAAGGATGTAGATCCACCTTTTGGGGTCCTCTTTGATGACTGGATTCCCCATACCTGAAGGATTCCCTTGAAAAAAAGATAAGGGGTGAAGGAGAGTGGGGTTGGGGGACCTCTCCATTGTTGAGCACCTACTGTGTACCAGGAGTGTGCATTATCTCACTTAATACACAGGAGCAAGATGATTCAGAGGGCTCACAGTTATTATCCCTATTTTACAGAAGAGGGAGCTGAGAATTGGAGAGGTTGAGCTAAGGTGGTAACCCTTGGTGGTCCCAAGTTCTTTTCACTTTAGCAGGCTTTCTACCTCTTTCCTCTAGCTTCCACACCTCTTTCCATGGAGTAAGAGACTTGAGAAACTCATTGTAATCCAATTCAGAAAACATATATTGA